CACAAAAGAGTATCATTACTATTTTGGGATTTGAAGATTTGGCAGTGCGGCACAGCATTTGATGTCTTTAGATGACCTGCACCATATACAAACTATTGAATAATTGATAAAACGTTTTGTTATTATATTATGCTTACTTCAATCACTCTTACACAAACTATTGAATAACATTTGTTATTATATTTTGTTCATAGATCTTGTCCTTAATGCTTACTTCGATCACTCCTACACAAACTGGATCTTAATCTTTATTATCATCCCCAAAAAACAATGATTCGTTGTCATCATTTGCATATTATTGTTTAATGTTACTACACAGTGAGTCTTGATTTAACAGACCTTGATTTAGCGGATTTAGGGGTTTAACAGATAAATTTTCAAAACCAAATTTTTCTATCTCAATTTAACAGATTTAATGGATTTTCATATATATGTCACTTATATATAATAATAATAATAATAAAATTCTCTCGATATTACCGATAATGATGATTCTTGCCTTTTTTGGATAGCCTAATTTTATAATAATAAAGCGTAATGTATATATTATTAAATATTAACAACATTTTAATCAAACATTTTAACTATTTCTTGGCAATGACACTTATATACAATGTCATTTTTTTATTTCTTTAAATGCTGATGAATTTATTATGAAATGACGGAACAAGAAATTGTAAACATAGTGTTGGGGCAATCTGAAGTTGAAGATAATGAGGGTGTTGATAAGATAAGCAAGCCAATTGTAACAAATACAGAAGCTATAAATGGTTGAAAATGCACTTAAATATATACAACAAAAATATTTAGAAGTTGATCCTCAAATAATTAAAAATATATTGAAGTTAAAAAGAGAAAATTTCTTATAGAAGCACCCAAGAAGCAAACAATGTTGCATTGATGAATTTATGAGTTGACAATGATATTATTATTATTATAAAAGATTTTTTTTTGTACACATTTAATTTGTATCACATGATTTGATCATAAGTTTCGATTTGATTTAATATTAATGGATAAATTTTCTGGTATTATTATCATCATCTGTTTCCGCATCCCAAATCATCCTTTTCCAAATTATTATATTGTCCCTTTCACAAGTAATAGGGATGAGATCGACTTCTTTATTAATAAACATATCAAATTCTGGTAAGAAGTTTTCCCAAGTTATTTTTGATAAGAGCTCCAGATTGGATGACCTGATGTTGGCTTTAATAAATTTTTCTTTGCCTATTTTTTCAATCATTACTTGTGATCTATGTATCACATAATTGATTATTTTTTGTATTTTTTTTGTTTGTATTTTGTTAATGATTATTCCCAACATATTTAATTTATTAAAGCCAAATTCATCGACGACTTTTGCAAATTGCTTAATAGTGAAAATGGTATCTCTTTGGAGATGATTGGTGTAAAGTATTTGATATTTTAATGTGTTGGCTGATTCTATTGTTTCTTCAAACTTTGAATAAAATTATATTAATTCATATAGTTTGACTGCGCGATTTTCTATATTTTTGAGGCTCCCTATAATGTTAGATAAGATTAAATAAATGATGTCAAACAAAATTAGTGTAAAAGAGATCAAAACACAAATATATATCATACATTTGAAGTACGGATTCATGAATTCTTTCGTGATAGTCTTTAGATCAAGTTTGAAACTCCGGTTGATGCTCAATTCATATACTTCGTCAATTGTAAAAAACAATTTTACTGATGATGTTGTTGATGTTGGTGTGGTGTTGGTGATGTTGGTGATGTTGGTGATGATAGATATGCATGTTTAAGTTTATTTATTAAGTTGGTTAATTCATTTGTTTCTGTACTATTACCTTTTGTTACTTTAAACTTCCATGCTCAAAACACCTCTTCAAAGATTATTTTTCTTCAAAAGAAAATATTATCTTTTCACCTAAAAGAAAGTATGTACAATAATAATACAAGTGTATATAATGTATATAATTATAAGTTGCTACCCGAAAAAGGTCTTTTTTATATATTAAACCAAGGTGTATATTGAAAAAAATTTTGTAAACAAGTTATTAATTGTGTGACAGAAGAAAATTATAACAGAAAAATAAGATAATTTACCAAAAAAAATAATTTACGAAAAAATTTTATTCAAAGATGATGTAAAAATGAATAAATTTTTATATTTTTTTTTCTTTATAAATACAACATTTGTACCAAAAAATTTCCTTGAGGGAGTGATCAATGATCAATTATCAATTATCAATTATTACACAACGCAACCATTTTTGCAAAACATCGAAAACTCTTAATTATATTTTTTTAGGATAGTAATATATCATCATGAAATTTTTTCTGACGCGAACATTAGAGCAAATGCGTTTAACAACGGTACATGGAATAAATAGTATACGTTCAACAAAGAAGAAACCTATAACTACTCTATAGAATTATCACAGAATTATTTGATTATCAAACATTCACGCCATGGAAGAACGAAGGACGAAGATACTCTTTTAAAAAATTATCTTTTAGGAGTTAACATAATACTCGTGTAAGAGACTGTAGATTCAGTGATCGCTTTAGTGACGCGTAAACTTTATTCCTTCAATAACGTATTTAAAGAAAGAAACAAGTTTTTACGTGCATCCGCATTATTATATATTCATATATATATGGTGGTGATGATATATTATATCGCATTTTTCAAAATCATTAAATATTTTAAAAAAATGGAAAGCAGTAAATATTTAATCAAGATTCAAAATGATTAGCTTTCTAAAGGATGTTTTTAGTTTGATGGATGATAATAATTTAGAAATCTTGGAACTTAATAGTTGAAGAATTGCAATAGAAGAACAGGATGAATTATTAAAACAATATATAAATGTTAATATAAAAATAATATATAATAAATAATAAATAAATAAACTAAATGACACATATCATTCATTACCAGGCGGTCCCTCTCACATCATTGATTTGGAAGATGAAGAAATGTCATAGTTGTCAAAAAACAAACGAACCAAGGGGAGATCATATCGATAATAAAAGGCGGTGCCTCTCGCATTATTGATTGGAAAGATGATGATAATGTAAAACGGAGTTGCTAAACACTTTATCCAGGGGGAAATCATATCAGATAATAAAAGACGATGTCTCTCACATTATTGATTGGAACAGGGTTGGCAAATTGACTGGTCCATTGAGAACTGATGGACTTCGGACTGATCCATTGCCATTAATAAAATACTAAATATGGTTAAAGTGTTACACTAATGGACCCAATGGACCACATATTTGCCAGCCCTGGATTAGAGAGATGACGATAATGTAAAACGTGGTTGCTGAAAAACATACAAATTTACATGAAGTCGAAATATAGAATTTTTGGAGGAAATAAAATAACTGTACTGTCTCACCCACCCTACAGTCCAGATCTAACATATTTCCTAAAATAAAAAAAGAATTGGATTTAATTTACCTTTGGACATATAAATATTTTAATTGTAACAGTAATAATTAGTCGTGTTATAAATATAATTATTTTTTTTTTAAATAGAAATGTATTGTATTAATAAATATAATTAAAGATGTCAAAAAACTTTGAGAGAGACTTAGAACAAATGTTTAATGAAGTTAATTTAAAAAAAATTAAACGCTGTTTAATTGCACATGAAGAAAATATAAACAATCCATATTTTATTAATAAAAATAATTTTAATTGGAACGCTTTTTTTGATTTTATTATTGATTCAGAAGATAAAGTAATTAGAAATTGATAAAAATATGTTTAATGATTCTGATATGCTTCTATTAAAAATTATCATTTTCGAGAAGAAAATTGATAAGATAATGTTGATTATTGAAAAGAAAATCTTAGAAACCCATTCCGAGAAGGAGGCCAAGATCATAAAAACAATCACAAAGTTGAAATAATTTGATTTTTGGATATATTATTTTTTTAGAAAGAAATACTTTAATATTAAAATATTATGTTAACATTAATATAAGTCACAAGCTTGATAATTTGAAAAAGCAAATAAAATTCATTATATACAATTAATTTCTCTTAATCATAATTAATTTATTACTATATATAAAATTTCCTCGATACATTTGACTTTTAATTCGACTTCGTGATAATTAATCAGAATCCTTTTTGATAAGAAACAATACAAATTTTTTCATCAAAGAATTATTAAATTTGTCTTAGTAGAGTTTTCAAAAAAAACAATACTATTTTTTTTTTTTTTGTAATAATAATAAATTAAAGCTTCTTCAGAATAAATTTATATTCTAAGTCTGTTTTTTTCACAACAAAATTTTTCGTGACGGAAACAAATCTCGAAATTGAGTCAAAGTTTAAGAGTATCTTAGAAGAAAAGTCTCAAAATCTTAATGAGGATTTTCTTTTTAGAAACATTCCTGGAATATGGGATCTTGATGAAAGAAAAAAATGTATTAAAATATTATGCAGAAACTGCTTTGAAAGATGTGGAAATTATTAAAGAAATTTATCAAAAATGGCGCGACCATAACAAAGAAATTAATGAAGACATAAGAGAAAAATTACTCAAAGTATTAGAAGTATTTGAGGGTGAAGAATCAGTAGTAAATAAGGATAAACAAATTTTATGCTATTTCTACTTTTTAATAGTAGATTATTCTTTTGG